CCACCTTCTCTACTGGACTGAGGCGGCCCCGGGGACACACCTGCACAACTCCACAGCAGACTGCCCTGGGCTCCCTCCGCTGCACAGGGCTGCAGAGGAGACATGACCTCTCTGTGACCTCTCGCCCGGCCCGCACCCTCCATGCCAGGGCCCCGCAGGCCCGGCTCCACGGTTCGCTGGAAGGGCGGGCTGCTCCCTGGGCGGGAGGAGCCAGGTCCTGATTCACAGGCTGCAGCTGCAGGCGGGCCTGGGGGTGGGGACATTGGACTGAACGGGAAAGAGAAAACTGGGCAGCCTGAATGGAAGAAACAGGGGAAGCAGAGGGGAGGGAGGAGAGGGGATGAGATGGGAAGGAGAAAAGGGTGAGTAGAGGGGAGGCACAGGGCTCTCCAGTGTGGGAGGCTCTGCCCCTGCTCTGCATCCGCTGGCTCAGTCCCAGGTCCAGCGGGCACCCCGGGACCCTGGGTTAAGACCAAGGTCACCCACACCCAGCACGTGGGCCTGGCGTGGATCCTGTCACACAGAGAGCGGTCCATGGAGCCATGTGCCTGTGTGGTGCCCAGCTGGGCCCCAGTGGCTTCTAGGCCTGTGCCTGCTTTCTGAGGCTCGCCGGGCTTTCTGAGGCACACAGGCTTTCTGAGGTGGGCTGAGGCACACCGGGCTTTCTGAGGTGCACTGGGCTAGAAGCCACACTCTTGGCCAGGCTGCCACCATGAGGCTGAGGGCAGTGATGTAGTGAAGGCCTATCCAGTCCTCTGTGCCAGAATGGACTTCTGACCCCAGCCATAGTACCTAGCCACACACCAACATCTGGCCCCTGCTACAGACTGACCTCTGACCTCTGACCCCAGCCCCAGTCTGAGCCTGAACCCGGATGCTCAGAAGCGCACTGTGGTGACCATCCAGGGACCATGAGGGAAGCCCAGAGCCATCCCGCCCCTCAGCCTGGCACCTGTCCACACTGACCTCAGGGCCCGGGTGACTGAGGAGGCACAGTCAGAGCCTGGGCAGCACAGAGCACGCCCGAATCAGGCAGACCTGCACCTCAGTCCGACCCACAGGCCCAGCCCAACACCCTTACACACACATACATGCAGAGACACTAGGTGACACACGTGGTGCCAGCACATGTGCACCAAGCAGACACCAGCCTAGACATGCACCCAAGCACACACAGCCCCCTCCTGCCCTTCTCACTAGGCCACACAACCCTCCTCCTAGGCCCAGAGTGTCCCAGCTCCCTCCCCTTCCTCTCCTCTGAGAGGCGGGAGCCCCCAGGCCCTCCCCGGCTCCAGGCTTCCTCTGCTTGCCTGGAAGAAAACCTCCTGAGAGCTTCAGCTTTACTCCCTCCCCAGACTCGGGGCTGCAGCACCCCAGCTTTCCGGAAGGGCACACAGTAGGTCTGAGTGATCAGCACAGGCATGAACACACATGCTCCCCTAGGTGGAACTGCGTGGCACACCACCTGTCACACACTCACAAAAATTAAACACACATGTGCTAATATGCACACAGGAGACATAACAGGGACATGGACACATGTAAATGGGACACAGATGCACACATACGGGCACGCACAGGCGCTTCTGTGTGAGGTACACACGCACCTGCCCACACGTGGGTGGCAGCTCCCAGGACAGGGCCCAGCGCCCTGGGAAGCTGCGGTGGCCCCATCCCAGCTCAGCTCAGAGCTCCGCAGCCTCTGCCTCCCTCGGCTGGTGGTACCCAGGATGCCGGCTCGTCCGTGGCTGCTCCTCGCCCAGCCCTCAGCCCTAGGAAGGCGAGGGCCCTGGAGCCTCCTGAGAGGCTGCTACAGAGGTGCTGAGGTGGTTTTTATCTCGGGGGCAGGATGGCTCTGGGCTTCCTCCATGGTCCCTGCGGGAACATACCCATGGATGGTCACCACAGTGCGCCTCTGTAGCCGGGGCTCCGCCTGACCCTGGGCTGGTGGGCTGGCTCCTCCCTGGCCTGAGGGGCCCTGGGCTGCCTCTCCTGGGCTGCGGCTCCAGGAGCACGCGAACCGGAGGCTTTCTCCGGGGGCTGTGTCTGTGGCCACCTCTGGAAGGGGGAAGGAACTGCTGACAAAGAGGGGGCTTGGTGTGGGAGGCACATTCGTGCTTGTGAATTTTTACCATCAGTATGAGGGGGAGAGGGGGGCTGGAGGAGGGAGGAGGGCAAAAAGGGGGGGAGAGGGAGGATATTCTTGTTCTTGTTCTGGTCTTTCTGGTTTGGCTTTATCCCACAGTTTCCTGGTGGAGCCCAGGAGGCTGTGTCAGGGATCGTAGGGGTGGCTCATACAGATGGTGCTGACTCTGGGCACGCCCCACGGAGTCCTGCTGGCCACCCCGCGCAGCGGCCTCTGCCCGTCTGAGATGTGGCACCGGGAGCTCAGAGAGCGGAGAGAGCACAGTGAGCGTCCGTGGAGCTGCTCTCCGCCGCTCGGCAGGCCAGCTCTCACGTGTGTGGCTTCGGACGCCGCTGGGCTCTCCAGGACTTCCTGGGGGCGAGGTCATGGTCCCCACCCCCCCACTCACCCCCAACAAGGACAGGCGCTGCCCTGCCAGCCCAGCGCAAGGATCGCTGTGGCCTCCTGGCTGTGTGTCCCTGGGCAGCCCCACACCCTCTCTGGGCCGTTTCCACAGCTGAGAGGAGGGACAATGCTTCCGCTCCTGCTCACCTCAGGCAGCAGGAGGGGAGGGGCACGACATGGCTGGAAGGCAGACTTCTAAGCCATGTGATAGCTCTCTCCTTAGACAGCAAAAAGCTCACCGTCTAAGACCAGAACACTCCCACCCCAGCGCCCACACTCCACAGGACCCCTCACTGACAGACCGCCAGTGCCAAGGCCAAGGCCAAGTCCAGCCGACCTGGGCGGCCTGTCCCTCCCTCCGGGCCTGTTTCCAGCATTCTGCGGAGGGACGGCGGCCTCCCCCTCCCCAACTGTGTGACGGGCGCGCCATACCCGTTTCCCATGGGATTTCCGAGTCCATTTTTCCACGTAAACTGGGAGAAGAGCAAGGCCTGGGCGAGCCGGGGTTGGGTGTGTGTGTGTGTGTGTGTGTGTGTGTGTGTGTGGCAGTGGCGGCTGGTCACACTGCTGGCTCTGTCACCTCCTGGTCTGTGCGGAGGTCTGTTTTCAATCTCTGGGAAACCATCAAACACCGACCTCACAGGCATAAGCTGAACGTTTCATGTGGGAATCCCGCTTGGGTGCACTGCTGGCCCCCAGCCCACCCTCCGCCAATGTCCCCGTGCGGAGCGACTGCCGATACCACACGCTCTGGGCTCTAGGTTTTCTGAGTCCTTTACAGCCTCCCGAGACCACGGGGGCAGGGAGGTGTGGGTGCCCCACGCCAGACCCAGAAACCGGGCTGGAAAAGGAGCTCAGGAGGCAGAGCAGAGGCAGCAGACTTCAGCTCCATATAAGGAAGAGCCGCTCCCAGCACCGCTGCCCAGAAATGGCGTGAGCGCGCAGCGCTCGGAGCAGGAAGGTGATCTAGGGGCAGAGGTCAGCAGACAGCTCAGGCACCGCCGGCGATGGGCCCCCAGGCCTCTGGCTCTGTGGCCGGCCTGCCCCTGTGAGCAAGGGGGGGCCCCCAGCGGTGGGCCCGGGCCCGAGAATCGCTGCCCAAACCCGCCGTCAGCGCCAGCAGACACACAGCCGGGCGGTGCAGCGGCCCTTCTATCAGCCCCAGCCGTCCTGTCACAGCAGTTACTTTTTAGAGAGAAAGGCCCACATTTAACTGTTAAAGTTGGAAAGTACATAAACTACAAAGGAAAAAGAACCAGGACTTAGTTTCCTGCTGGCGTCTCTGCAGTTGGATCTGGTCAGACACCCTGGTGTGCCCAGGACCCTAGAGTCTAAGAGTTTGTACTGAGATGCAACCTGCTCTTTCCAAGGCTCTTGGTGTCCTTGAGCCGGGCAGCGCCCACCTCTAACTTCAGAACACGTCCACGCTCAGCACAGCTCCCGCTCCTCGCACCCAGCTCACAGCCGCACCCGCACCCTGCGCCTGGCCTGGCGGGACCAGTGCAGCCCTCTGCAGCCTCCAGCCTCACAGAGCAGCCAGAGGGGCCGCTGAACGCCACGCCATCCCCCCGCAGCCCTCCGCACTCCGCCTCCCACACGGTTACAGCACCCCAGGGCCTGCCATCCTGTGCCACCCACCTGCCTCGGCCTCAGCTCCCGCTCTGCCGCAGCCGCTCTGGCTCCCCCGCCCTCCCTCCGCCTAGGACAGCCGCTGTGGGCCTGCCTGGCCGCACTCTCCTTCCTCAGGACACGGAGGGCCTGATGCACCGTCCCCTGGCCTTCCCCCAAGGCCAGCAGAGCCACCCTCAGGGCCGCCTGCGCTGTGCCCGGTGACAGACAGGCGGCAGGGGAGCCCGGCCTGGGACAGAGAGGCTGGTGGCCCTGAGCCACCTGCCCTGCTATTAACAGAACCAGGAGGGATGCACACAAATCCAATTTGCTTATCGGAAACACGGACCTGGCCAAGCAAGGCTGCCCCCCGCAGGACAGCCGCCCCCCGCAGGACAGCCACCACAGCGCTGTGGGGAGGGCCTGCAGGCACTGGGTTCGAGGGCTGCTCGGTCAGGCGGACCCTCCGCGGCATGAGGCTGCAGGGACCTAGGAGATGAATGTCTTGCTGCTGCTCAGAGGTGCCCCAGACATTGTTGGGGGAGGGGGGGGGGGGAAGATTCCCTCAAGGAGAGATGTGAGCCCTCCCTTGTGGAGGCTCCCGAAGGGCCCCAGCCTCATCTCCCGCCTTTCCCTCCTGGGCTCACCAGCTCCCTGCCAGCCCTGCAGCCTCGGTGTCCAGTGCCTGCTCTCAGCCTCACCCCGGGCCTCTAAGAGGCTCCGCCCACCGCCCCGCCCATTCCAGCCCCCTGCACCTTGCCAGCTGCATGAGGTTGTGGCCCTCAACCCCATATCCCACCCAGGCCACAGGGTGAATGAACAGCACCCACCTAGGGGCCAGGAGGAGTTAAGGGTCCGACTCGAGTCACACTCAGTGCCCACAAGCACTGTTATCGCCTGCAGCGCGCTGTGCATGGGGCCGAGCTGGGGCAGCCCACGTGGAGGTGCAGGTCCCGGAAGAAGGCAGGAGGCTGTGCCGCTGCGTTGACCTGTGAGCGTGTGCGTGAGCACTGTGTGTGTGTGTGTGAGTGTGTGTGTGTGCTCACACTGGGTAAGGAGGTCCACAGCGGCCGTGTTTTCCTGAGGCCTCAGTCTCCGCACCCGCACACAGGCTGCCAATCTCCAGCCTCTATCCCCAGAGCCGGGCGAGGTTCCTGAACTTCCTGGGCCCTGCCCTCCATCCCTCAGGACTGCACTCCTGCGAGTCATTCTGCAAACAGACCGGGAGGGGAGAGGGAACAGGAGCGAGAAGAGGGGAGGCTGGATACAAACCTGTCTCCTCGTTCTGCCCGCTCTCCCTCAGCTCCCCTACCAGGTATGCAGGCGTCCCCACTGGGAGAGTTCTAACTAAGCGTCTGGTCAGCCTGTGCCATGGACTTGCTGTGTGGCCTTGGGAAAGACCCTTGCCCTCTCTGGGCCTCTTTGGAGGCCTCCATTTGCAGAATGCGTGAGCTTCTGAGGGGGCTGTCATTCTCAGTGAGGCAGGGATGGGAGGAAGGTGAGCCTGGGTCCTGGAAGCAGCCTCTACCCACTTTCTCCTCTCAGTTTCCCCACCTATGTGAGGGGAGGGCGAGCCCTTGGTAGGCACAGGGCACGGAGGCTCACCTGCCAGGTGTAGCTGGGTAGGGGCCCGAGCACAGCAAGACACCTCCTGCCCACTCAGGGCCCGGGCCCGGGCCAGCGCGACACAAGGCCGTTGGGACCCGCACTGAGCCAGCGGGCAAGCATTTCCTGGGGGCAGGGAGCCCCGGGGCCTCTGGGGGACCCCAGCTCCAGGGGCAGGGGTGAGACAGCACTGAGAAATCCCACACCAGCAGTCAGAGAAGCCTCCGCTGTGGCTGTGTGCACATGTGTGTCCATGCATGCGTATGATCATGGGACAAGTTCTAAGGTGGCTTCTTTTTTTTCTTTTTTTAAATAAATTTTTATTGTTCATATTATTACAAATGTTCCTTTCCCTCCCTCCCCTTCCATTGCTCTCCTCCACCAGGTTCCCACTCCACCCTCTGCCCTTTCCCCACCCCCCATTGTCCTCATCCATAGGTGCACAGTTTATGTTCAGTCTCTTCCCACATCCCCCTCTCCCCTTTTCCCCAAGAATCGTCAGTTCACTCCCCTTCCATACCTCTGATTCTATTATATTCAACAGTTAATATTGTTCATCAGATTTTTTTTTTTAATTTCCTTGGTTTTTAGATTCACTTGTTGATAGTTACGTATTTGTTGTTCATAATTTTTATCTTTATTTACTTTCTCTTCTGAAAGATTCCCCTTCAGCAATTCATATAATTCTGGTTTGGTGGTGATGAACTCCTTTAGCTTTTTTTTATTAGTGAAGCTCTTTATCTGGGCTTCGATTCTGAGTGATAGCTTTGCTGGGTAGATTATCTTTGGCTGTAGGTTCTTACTATTCATCACCTTGAATATTTCTTGCCATTCCCGTCTGGCCTGCATGGTTTCTGTTGAGAAATCAGCTGACAATCATATGGGTGCTCCTTTATAGGTAACTACCTGCTTTGCTCCCGCTGCTTTTAATATTCTCTCTTTGTCTTTTGCTCTTGGAATTTTAATTTAAATGATTTGTCTTGGTGTGGTCCTCTTTGGATCCCTTTTGTTTGGAGTTCTGTGCGCTTCCTGGACTTGTAAGTCTAATTCTTTCACCAGGTGGGGGAAGTTTTCTGTCACTATTTCTTTCAGTATGTTTTCGATATCTTGCTCTCTCTCATCTTCTGGGACCCCTATAATTCTGATGTTGGTTTGCTTGAAGTTGTCCCAGAGGTTTCTTACACTATCTTCAATTTTCTGGATTCTCTTGTCTTCTTGCTTCTGCGGAGGAGTGTCTTCTGGCTCTTTATGTTCCAAATCTTTGACTTGATTCTTGCGATCTTCCATTTGATTTTAGGACTCTGTATAATATTTTTTTTTATTTCAGACAATGTATTCATTTCTTGTTGATCCCTTATCATTTCTCGTTGATTCCTTATTAATTCTAGTTGATCCCTTTTCATATCCTCATAGGTCTTATTGATCTTTTCTAGGAAATTCTTGAAAAACCTTACAAGTGTAGATTTGAACTCTATATCCAGTCGCTTTTTGTCCTTCATTTCTTTCGTTTGTGATCTATTTCGTCTCGGCATTTTCGCAGCTTCCCTGATGGGGCGGAGTTTCAGGGTGGAGCCTACAGCCTTGGCTTCCGTCAGCCCTACCCTATGGGGCTCCTGGGTCTCAGGGTTCTTCAGTACTCGCTGCAAGCACCTCTGAGAGAAAGGTGCCCTCGATTTTCGCCTGCTACCAAACAGTCTAGGCCACATGTGTCAAACACAAGGCCCGCGGGCCAAATCCGTCCCGCCAGGCCTTGCAATGTGGCCCGCACCGCGCTGTCATCACTGCACTCCGCTGCGTTTCCATCACATTGACAGTTTATGACTGTTCAGTAAACCATTTGGCCCGCGATTTAGGCTGGATTTTAGATTTTGGCCCCTTCTCTGATTGAGTTCGACACCCCTAGTCTAGGCTCTCCCCCAATGAGCCCGGTATTGGGGCTCAGTTCAGTTGGAAGTGGGATTGGAGGTGGCATTCAGAGCAGTCTGGAGCCCCAGTCTCCTTCCTGCCAGGGCAATCCCGAGGCACAGCCTGCCGTCCCTTCTCTGTGCACAATGTGCACGCCTCTGGGACCTCCTTTCGCCGCTCCCCCGGGGTTCCACCTTACAGCCCAGCTCCCTATGGATGAGCCTGGGTCCCCGGGGTCTGGCCTAGAACTGGGGTTCAGAACAGGCAGAACTGGGGCCCAGCACAGTCGGAGCTTTTATCTCCTTCCCGCTAGGGAACGCCTGCCAGGCACTCGGCCTCCCTCCTCTCCGGCTCCGTCCTCTCCGCGCAGGCCGTGTGTCTCCGTACCTTAGGCTTTTACAGTTCCTCCACGCTTCCTTCTAGTTTTCTCCTTGCTTCTCGTTGTAGAATTTCCAGTCAGTCGACTTTCCTGTAGTTCTGGGCAGTGTCCATTTTATATTTTAGTTGTATTTTATTGAAATTGTTGTGTGGGGCTGCGGCTAGGTGTTTACCTGTGCAGCCATCTTGGATTCTCTCAGGTGGCTTCTGAGTCATGGTCCTTGTGACCTCGGTATGTGCTCGTGTCCTCAGAGCCTGAAGCAAGTATGACTGTGTGGCAGAGGGCTGGCTGGCAGTGGAGAGCATGAGCAGTCCGTGAACGTGACTGCCAGCAGCAGGAAGGGCGTGTGTGTGTGTGTGTGTGTGTGAGTTCCCGTATGCCACAGCGGGCTGGCATTAGGAGTGAGTGTACATACAGAGGACTTCCTCCAGCAATGCCAGCTCTGGGACTGCCCGCCCCGGGCTCTCGTTCTCTCCACTCCGTGACAAGCAGGCCTCCATCGCTGGGAGCCTCTCCAACATGTGCGTGTCCTGGGCGAGGTACTCGCAAAGCCCCAGGCCCTCTCCCCATGCAAACGCCCTCACACGCATCTGGAGCCCAGGCAGGGCCCCCTTCCCAAGGCCCAACAGGCTCCAGATCAGGCCTCGCGACCACAGTGGGCTCGGAGGAGCAGATCAGGGCTCAGAGGCGGGGCTGGGAGGGTGTGGGTGGGAGCAGACAGCTCTGCGGGAAGGGGTTCTCGGGGGCAGCCAGGGGCTGGGCAGCTGCTCCAGGTGGGACTGGAGCACCCCCGGGGCCTGCGTGTTAGGCAGCCGCAGGGGTGGGGTCAGCTGGCAGACGAAAGGGAGCAGTGGGGACCAGAGCTGAAGCCAGGAGAGCTGGGGGGGGGGGGGGGGGCTGCAGGGTTAACTGGAACCCAGCCCGCAGGGGCCGGTCTCCAGACTCTGGGCCTGTGTTCTGCACCCTCACCTGTCGGGAGCCCTTGTTATTGGAAGGGGAATAGTGACGCTCACTGTGAGGGACGGGGCGTGGGGGACTCGGGAGTCCCCGAGGCTCAATGTGCTGAGTGAGGAGGTGTGGCCATCCTCCCACCGTCCAGGTCCTGCCGCAGGGACTCAGGGCTCACCGTTCTATATTGGGGGGCTTTTCACCTCGTCCCCCCAGCCTCACCTTTGAGAGAAGCCCAGGTGGAGGGGGAGGATGTAAAAGCCAGTTCCTGTTCGCTCAGGCCAGGCTGGGGGCACTTACACTGCAGAGAAGAGGGAGGCAGGCAGAAAGAGCTTCCCAGGCTCACGGGGAAGGGCGCTCCCACCGCGGCCACGCCGGGCCGTGCATGGGGAGGCGCCGGGAGGCAGGAAGGAGGCAGAGGGAAGCACAGGACCCGGAAGGAGGAGGGAGACAGGACGCAGGGGTAAGGCGGAACGGGCTCCTCTTGCCCAGTGGCTGCAGCCTCTGGGCCCGCAGCGCAGGGACCTGCTCCTGGCCTCTGCTCTGGGCCCCAGAGTCAGCGGGGAGCGCGCCTCTGTGCCTGTGCCTCACCGGGAAGGAGGCCTCGAGAGCCCGCCCGCTCGCTGGGCACATCGCCTGGGCCTGCGCCCTCTGCCTGCAGCGCCTCCGCCACAGCCACGGCCCCTCCGCCCTCAGGGCTCCGGCCCCCAGGTTACCTGCCCAGGAGGCCCGCCTGATTCCCCCATTCCTCAGCTCCTGAGCCTCTTCCCTGCTGTATCTCCTCTCATCACGTTAGCACCTTCCAACACTGAGTGCTGTCTCCTGCGGGGGCGGGTCCCGGCTTCGTTCACTGATGTGCACTTAGAATGGTCCTGGCACATAGTATGGCCTCAATAAGTGTGTGTGAATGAGTAAAAAAACCACAGTTATTCAAGACAGGAAAGCCTCCCTCTGAACGGTGAAATCTTAAAGAGATAAGTCCCTTCTTCTTTCGTGAGAGACACAGGGAGAAACATGCCCGGCCATGAACCAGGAGG